AAATGTCAGCTTTCCTGCTCCTCTGATGCTGCTTGGCCTGCTGTGTTCATCCAGCTCTACACCTTGTTGTCTGGAAATGGTTGGCTGCTTGTGTAACTCTCCTGTGTGCAGGTTGGCTGTCGCACTTCCAATGTTACAGCAGAGACTGCATTCCAGAAGTACTTAAGTGGCTGCAAAATGTTTTGAGAGATCCCGAGGTTGTAAAAAGCACAATACATAGTAAGTCTTACTTTTCCACTTTTTATTCCCTGTGCTTCCCTGACTCTTAACATGTTCCCTTACATCTTCCAGAAGCTGTTCATCCTCACCTCTGCATTTAGCAGAGACTGGCCCCCTGAGGGCAATTTCACAGAGAGGAAGATATACTGTAACTAACATCACCACAGGACTGTAATGACAACTGGTGACTGGCAGAAGCAGTGAAATTGGCTGAGAAGCTTGACAGCACCTGTCAAGAACTCCCAGTCTGAAGAAAATCAAATACTCTGAGAACAGAAGCAGACAAAAGTGTCAAGTTTATTTTTCCATTTCCTGTAGTTTTCTCTTCCCCTCTATACCGGACACAAGATCTAAAACATTTGGTTTGGGATAATAAGCATGTCTTGCAGTAGCATTTAAAATACCAGAAGAATCTTCCCAATAACTCAACAAACTTATCCAGTCAATAGCTGAGCCACATAAACCAGGAAAGCCCTATGATTGACTCCCACGGTGTGAATGACGTATTATTTGAATCACTGCAGTTGGCCTTGGGCTGGGGAAAGAAAAATTGAACTGAGTTCTGAAGAAGGGTCACTGGACCTGAAAGGTTAACTTTGTTTTCTCTCCACAGATGTTGCCAGACCTGTGGAGTTGCTTCAGCTATTTTTTTTTGTTTCAGATTTGCAGTATCCGCAGCTCTTTGTTTTTTTGAATAAAGTTCATTTTTTTGTCATTCACATGAAGGCATTGCTGACTATATCAGGATTTACTGCCCATCCATAATAGCCCAGAGAGTAGTTAAGAGTCAACCACATCCCTATGGATCTGGAGTCATATGTAGACCAGGCAAGACAGCAAATTTTCTTCAAAAACAAGCATTATGACAATCGGAGATAGTGGGAACTGCCGATGCTGGAGAATCTGAGATAACAAGGTGTAGAGCTGGATGAACACAGCAGGCCAAGCAGCATCAGAGGAGCAGGAAAGCTGATGTTTTGGGTCTGGACCCTTCTTCAGAGAGCTGTGTTCATCCAGCTCTATACCTTATTATGACAATCAGCTGTTTTTATAGAATCCCTACAGTATGGAAGCAGGCCATTCAGCCCATTGAGTCTGCAAAAGCCCTCTGAAGAGCATCCCACCCAGGCCTACCCCCCTACCCTATCCCTGTAACCCTGCATTTCCCGTGGCTAATCCACCTAGCCTACACATCCCTGGACACTATGGACAATTTAGCTTGCCCAATTCACCTAACATGTACATCTTTGGACTGTAGGAGGAAACCGGAGCACCCAAAGGAAACCCACGCGGACACAGGGAAAACATGCAAACTCCAGACAGACAGTTGTCCAAGGATGGGTTCAAACCTGGGTCCCCCGTTTCTATGAGACAGCAGGGCTAATCGCTGAGCCACCCTGCCATCCCAACTGTGTTTGCCATTGGGACAGCTTTTTATTCCAGACTTTTAAATTGAATTCAAATGTCACCACCTGCCTTGGTGGGATTCAAACCCATGTTCTCAGAACAGTAACCTGGGTTCAGGATTGTTAGCCCAGTGAGATTACCACTACGCCACCACTTCCCTAAACAGAGTTCATTTGTTTTTCTTTCTCTTACATCTGTAAGTGCTCTTACACAAAACGGAACCTTTGTTTCCCCATCACCAAATCACTCATGGGTTTTTTATTCATCTATTAAACACGGCCAGTAAATCATCAGTGCTTCTAAAGGCATAATTTACATGCAAAGCCCATTAAGGACAATGATAACATTAAAGATGAGGGAGAGGTGAGGAGCGAGGGAGGTGGCTTAATCAAAATGGTGTTGGAAGGGAAGATATAACATTCTACCCACTGTACTGCCCACCTCTCTCTAAAGGTATCAAAAGTTTGGTAGGCACCACATGCTCCCTCTCCAAGGACACCCAGCCTCTTCTAGACACAGTGCTCAGTTAACCTGAATCCATGACCAATCTAAAGCCCACTCTAAAAATCAACTACATGTCATCAAACTCCAGGCTTAAACTTCCAACTGGAAAACAAAACAGAAAATCAGATAAAACAAAAATATAGGATAAGCAAATGTCTAAGGAAAGAAAGCAAAGATAGATAAAAATAGAAGGAGGAAAAGAAAAAGTGAAATAAACAAAAATTACACAAAGGAAAAAGTCAAAAGTAGAATCCCTACAGTTCAGAAAGAGACCAATGAGCCATTGGGTCTGCTCTGATTGCCTGAAGCACATTCCACCCAGGCTCATGTCCTTACCCTATCCCTGTAAACCTGCATTTACCATGGCCAGTCCACCTAATCGGATCATCTTTGAACACTATGGGGCAATTTTTTTTTAAGCATGGCCAATCCACCTAACCTACCTGTTTTTGGACTGTGGGAGGAAACTGGACAACCCAATGGAAACCCACACAGACATGGGGAGAACATACAAACTCTGCACAGTCACCCACGGCTAGGATTGAACCCATGTTCCTGGGGCTGTAAGGCAGCAGGGCTAACCACTGAGCCACCATGCTGCCCTATTTTTTTTCTGTTCAGGGAAAACACAAGGTCAAGTAATAACTCAGGTAGAAGAAAATACAGGGAAGGGAAAAAAAATGACTAAAGGGAAGAAATACAAAAAATTATTTCAAGACATTGAAGTTTTCACTGGTTAATGTACTGATGAGGGCAATTATTAATAGAATGCAAAAGAAAATGGGGAATTGATTTCCCAATTTAACTGCTAGGAAGTAGATTGAGACTGTAGGCCAGGAAAATGTGTTGTATATGTGTGTACAATAGTTGTCCTGATGGGGAAGTCAGTGCAATTACTCACCTTGTAATTCATGTTAAATAAAATAAATTTGACATTTCTTTCAACAGATTCATAACATCTTGAATCTCAAATGACAAGAGAAAATGTGCAAAATATAAATTAATTAAATACATATAATGAATGCAATTAATATAAATTGAAGACATGAACAGAAAAATGCTAGAAAGCAAGAAAATAAATACATGGCCCTGTCACCACATCCTTCTACCATCTTTTAAATATCTCATTGTCCTCTCAGATGCTCTAGTGCTGTTTGATTCATAATTAGGACATAAATAACCACATTTTCTGGATTAAATTAGCAGCACAGCTTTGTTATAGATATCAAAGAAGTAACAATACTGTGAGAGAGCAAGAGATTAACCTCCATCTTTAAGTATTTACCAATGTCTATGAATACCGCCTGGCCTGCTGTGGAAAAGCAATGGAATTAATATAAGCCAATATGGTTAATGCCTCCTTTTAGTGTATGATTAAGATTCCAATGTAATTGTTGAAGAGCACAAAATAGCATTCTCCTTATTCCCATCATTTAACCAATATTCCTCAGGTTGGGTCGGCACAGTGGCTTAGTGGTTAGCACTGCTGCCTCACAGTGCCAGGGACCCAGCTTCAATTCCACCCTCAGGACACTGTTTGTGTGGAGTTTGCACATTCTCCCCGTGTCTTCGTGGGTTTCCTCTGGGTGCTCCGGTTTCTTCCCACAGTCCAAAAATGTGCAGGCTAAGTGAATTGGCCATGCTAAATTGTCCATAGTGTTCAGGAATGTGTAGATTAGGGGGATAGGTCTGGGTGGGATGCTCTGAGGGTCAGTGTGGACTTGTTGGACCAAAGGGCCTGTTTCCACACTGTAGGGAGTCTATGATTATCAACATGTAGTTATTTACATCACCAACATACTGAATTAGCCCAAATCAACATGTTTAACAAACTAATATAGGTTGATCAGAAACAAGACATATATGAGCACTAAATTGGGTGTAAATTGAAAAATATTTAATCAGCCACCCACTGCACTGAATTAATAAACAAAAAGTTCACCTAAGTAGCTATTATGTGGAACTTTATAAAGCTCTCATCCTGGCATATAGAGATTTACACGGAGGGAGCATGTTTTTGGAATTCAGATGGGAAGATCTATGAGTCTTCACATTTCTTACATCCAATATCATTGATAAATTGACAGTCTTGTCAATCTAATTGGCCTCCCGAAACTTCCCATCTACCCCCACAATTTCCCAAATATGTACTCTTAGAGCTCTAAACTCTACACTGAGAGCGTGCATTTGTAAATCTACCATATTTCTTTGTACAAAAGAATAGGTAAGATTTTCAGAAGAGGTTTAACAATTATCACCTTCAAAAGAAGCAGATTGGGAATAAGATAGATGATAATTAGAATACCTTGTGACATAGGTTGTTCTAGCTGTAGCAAGTAATCTTTAGTTATGTAGCTTCTAAAACAGTTTCAGTTGGGTTATTTTAACTTTAGGTGATATCAAATTGGTTGTCCAAGTTGCACTATGCCTAATCTTGTTCCCCATTGACTTCAAAGTCAAGGAAAGGCCAGCCTTGTGCTCTGTTTTTTTGGAGGTGTATGCCTGTGTAGCTAAAAGCAACACACTCACATGTTTCTTTTACTTAAGACAAGGTTCAGAAATAGTTATAGGTACTGTACATCAAAATGCTGTACGCACAAAAAAGGAGAGCATCATAGGTAAATGACTAATTTAATATTGTTTACACTATTGCCCAAAATTGGTTTTCCATAATTTGATCTTATATTTCTCAGCCTGCTAGGTTTGCCTATCTCAATATTGCAGACCTCGTGGTTAAGACAGACCTTTTATTGGTGCTACTCCCTAACTGCTGGAAAATGATAAATCTATCAAAGTCTGTAGATAGCACTTTTCTGTGAATTTAATTATACAAACTTATTTTTAATTTAGAAGTGACAGTGGGTTGGTATTTTGCACTATATATCAAAGGGCTCTACAGAATGCAACAAAATGACAGAGACAAAACAGTTGGTGTGCGATAGGGGTCAGTGAGGAGTAAACTCTGTCTACGGAGAGCCAATATACTGAGGTTGACCTTTGGAGATTAGTGCTGAAAATGTAGGAATTTTGATTATCTTTTGGGAATCAGAGACTTGATTCAGAAACCTGTGAGAGGGAATGTTCAGCTTGCTCTCTGGAAAAGATGAGCACAATGAGCCTAAATAGCTAATTCTCATTTCATGTTTTTATGCCTGAGCTGAGACAGACTGAACAGTTTATGGGCAGCAGAACTTCAGAAAATTAATGGAAGTAAGCCCCTAATTTCATTTCAATGACTTGAGTGGGGTGCCATGCAGAAATGTGGTTTTGCCCCAGAGAGAAAATATGTTATAGATGAACTCAGCACATTACCTGGCTGTCTGAGATGAGCTGTCTAGAATAGAGACAAAGAAACATACGAATAAAATTTCTGATTTTTCAGCAAAATACCTTAATGCTTTTATCACATGGTTGACGAAATGACCAAGCTCAAACAAAATATAGTAGAGTTGGTGCTCATGCCTCAAACTCACCTGTTCCTGCTGTTGGCGGGCAAGCTCCATCTGCTGCCTCTGTTTCTCAATTTGTGATGCCGCTAGTTTCTTCTGCTCATCATGTGCTGCCAAGAGCTGCTCCCGTAAACTAATTAACTGGTTGATCATGGCAGACAGCTGGCGTTCCTTTTCGGCAAGACTTTCTGGTGTACCTGAAGAAGAAAAATGACATTCAAGGTCAACACAAGAATGGAAGGCAGAACTTTGAAATATATAGTAACAGACTGGCTGTAGATGGATTACATAGGATCAATCAGTAGGTCATTCAATCCCTTAACCCTGTCTTCCATTTCATTAGATTACGGCTGATCTGGATCTCAAAGTTGGAGTCAAACTTGATGCACCCATTAGGGTAATTCAGCTCATGAGGTTTCTAAATCTCAAGAGTCTAAACTTTCTTAATAAGGAAATACGCAGTTCTAAATTACTGTGCATGACTAAATAACTTACTTACAAATGTATTATTGTCTGTAATTCACATCTGTGTGAACCTGTTTGGAGATGAACTGCAAACCTTTTCCGAATCAGTATCAACAACTCCAGCATCATGAATGAAACATTGCATCTACTATTCACCATCAGGGTGGCATGGTGGCTCAGTGATTAGCACTGTTGCCTCTCAGTACCAGGGGCCTGGGTTTGATTCTACCCTCGGGTGACCCTAAGTTTGTACATTTTCCCTGTGTCCATGGGTTTCCTCCAGGTGCTCTGGCTTCCTCCCCAGCCCCCACAGTCAAAAGGTGCTCAGAATAGGTGGATTAGCCATGGGAAATGCAGGATTATAGGGATAGGTTAGGGTAGGGGGAACTGAGTCTGGGTGGGATACCTTTCTGACGGTCAGTGTGGACTTGATGGGCCGAATGGCCTGCTTCCACACTGTAGGGATTCTATGATTCTATTATCTCCAGACATGATATTACAACAGGAGGACTGTCAAACACCACTTCTAACTTTTGCAATTGTGCGCTGCTGACGGGCCAGCTCAGTTTAATTGTAAATGCTTGATGCACTGGCCATTATCATTATTCACAATTAATGGGTAGAAAATTGGGGCAACCTGTCTACAATTTTCCAGAACATGCAGCCATTAAGTGAGGTTCTCTGCCAGTAACGCTTGTTCAGCTTTAACATGTCCGACCTCGGCTGGGCCCCTAGACAATTCTTCCAGATAACAAAACAGGGTAACACGAAGGCAAATAAATCACAATGGCAAGTGCACATATATCTCCCTCTGCAACGTTTAAAATTACAGGGCAAAGCTCTAGACTAAAAATGGACAAATTGCATCTCCTGAGTGACATACAGCTCTTAAATAATTGAAGTGTAGCTGTTAGTAAAGTGCTGCTGTTTGCACCTATCCATCCATTCAATCCCAAAGTGAGAGACATATATTAGGCACAATCATACACGCAGCCTTCTTCCAATTTAGATCCAGTTAAACTGTAAGTTGAATCTATTACAATATCAAACAATTAAATGTAGCCCAAATGTTCAATTATATTAAAATGGGGTGCTTCCCATCCATTCAACAAATAATAAACAGCTCTGCCACTGTGATGGAGTTTTGGGACCACATATAAAGTTTAAATCCAGATTCCAATCTCAAGGTGCTAACAGATCATGGCATTTTGATTTACTGGCCAATGAGGCAATTGTGCTAAAATAGTCCTTTCCAAACCTTCTGACCTACAAAATTTAAACAAGCCAAAATGGAAAATAAGAAATATAATCACAAATAGACATTAGTAGCCTAGGTTATGAACAGCATATTATTAAGGCTCAGCGACCACAGCTTGGACAACTCCTGGTATTTTTGTTAACACCACAGGACATTCAGAATGCCAGTGAGTATGCTCGACTACTAAGGTTTCCACTTCTTGAGCTTTGAAAGCTGCCACACATGCAGTTCACTACACTTCCCTCTTACATGCAGTGAAATGCTGATTTATCATGCTACAATTATAAAGGAATTTACTCAAATGAATCTGACATAAGTAACTATTTTTTTCAAAATTTGAGAGATTCACCATTTTATACATTAACAACATAACAACTTATTTCATGTCTAAGCAGAGCTGTTGCTTCTATGGAAGCAGATTAATCAACAGACTCCAGTATCACCATTCAACACTTATTCGTAGATTCCATATGCTGTCGTCATAAAGGTGCTATCTTAAGATCACTATGGAGAGGGCAGTGGTTCTTCTGACTCTTCTGTATAGTTCCAAAACTTGGGCTACATATAGACGCCACCTCTTAACCCTTGAAAAGAACCATCAACACTGTTTGAGATGGATTTTCCACATCAGCTAGGAGGACTGGTGTACAAACATCAGTATCCTGGAAGAAGCCAGTTGCACCAGGATCAAAGCCATGATCATCCAAAAACAACTCCACTGAACGAACATGCACTTAGGATTCCTGAGTTTCTACTGCCAAAGCAAATTGTCTTCGCCCAGCTCAAGGAAGGCACTCAAATGACAGGAGTCAAAGGAAAGTGTTTCAAAGACTCCGTGAAGGCTTCCCTCAAGAAATGCAAACTAGATGCTAATGCTCACTGAGGAGAAACCAACTTGGAGGAAACTTCTGTATGAATAGACATAATTCTTTCAGAACACCCAACAGCAATAGGAAGAGCAGAAAAGTAACTGGGAAAAGGAATGCCAATGATCTCAAGGCCAAGGACCAATTCCACCTCCCACAGTCACCTGCCAAGAGATCAGAGATCGAAGTCTATGATTGACCTATTAGCCACACAAGGATCCACAGAATTCTTGGCCAGTGGAATGGAATTTCATAGGTTGACAATCATACTCACGAATGGATGCTTGCCACCGCCACTGACAATGTTCATACAAAGTAAAGTCAAAAAGAGCAATTCAAATGAAAACTCCTGAATACACATGCAGTTACACTATAAATATTTTTCTAACTTTAAACTTCAGGTATACTGAATATTATAGCAAGAAAATAAATTCAAGTAAATGAAGATAGAATGCATGTGTTGGATTCTTTTCACTAATTCCTTATTATGGGGTAAAAATATTAATTTGGGCAATTTTTTTGATGCATTTCCTATATTTCTTAGTCTTCTTTGGTGTTACCTGGATTAGATGTTCAGAAACAATGTAAATTCTTTTCCATTACAATCAATCTGCCATTGACTGAACTGTCAATAGAATAGGAAGTACAGGTATTCAAGGTAAGAGATCAATTTATTTGTATATATATCGTACTTCATTGGGAACATGAGCAATTGGACACCAGATACAAAAAGTGATATTTGCATAAAATTCCCACAGCTAGCTTTCAGCTGAATGCATTAACCTCGATCTAACCTGATTAGTGTCTCCCCTTTTGTTGACCTCAGATTACCTCTTCCCCTTTTCTGTTGATCCTTTCCCTGTAGAATATTTCCCTCCCTCTTCAACCATGTCTCCTTCATTTCTTCTCTACGTATCTCAACCTAGAACAGGAGACTCACTTGTTTGTTGCAATTCCTAATCCCACACCTTAAGACGTGCTAGCAATCGCATTAAGCAACGTAAACCATTTAGTCTATAGACAACATTTCATTAATTTTATCCTATAACCTCTTTAGTACGCTGACTCCAGCCACTTGTGCATTCATCCTTCCCTTTGTCCTACGTGCTTTCAGCCACCAGACACCATGTTCCAGAATTCCTCCCTTTTTTCCTTTTAAAACCCTCTTTGAAAACTACCTCTTTATCAACAATTTTCGACACCTGTTCTAAAATCTATGTTGTGTCATCTTCTACATTTGCACTTTGTGTGTCTGTAGTCCAAATTGGATGCTATACTAAATTAAAAATGCTATATAGATGTGAGTTGTACTTATTCTTATTAATCTGCAAATTGAAGTCAAATCATGGAACAAAAGAAATAGAATTCCTAGCTTCAAGTAAGTTGATAATTCATATAGTTTTAGTGAATCAAATTATTGCAAATTGCAAAAGGATTTTATTTCTTTGTTCCACATTCAATTTGGATGAAGCTATTACATAAATAACATGTAGCATAATGTTTTACTATGCCATGAAAATAACTGGCCAGCATCCAGGGCTGGTTTCTGAATGTATCTCTGGATGCAATGCCACTTGTCGCACAAGACTAACACAAATCTGATCCCTTTCAATGACATCTACATCCCTGTCAGTGGAAGGACTCAGCAAGAGTATGTTAGATTTGTGGGCAACAGAAAACAGGGTCAGCTTCATTCTATCCAGTTTGAAACTTTGAAAACTGTTGACTTAAAACATTAAAACTGAACTCATGACGTTGTAAAATTGGAGAGTGAGAGATATTTTCAAATAACCCTGTTCAGACATGTTATTACACACTGCTAAAGCAGGTAGGACTTGAACCCAGGTGTCCCAGCTCAGAGATAGGGGTCCTACCATGGTACCACAAGAACATATGGCTAAATCCCACAGATTTCTGGACATGTGCGCACTGGACTTAAAATTTATAAATTATGGCATGCATGTGGCGTAGCTCCTTTATACTCATATCAACATTCACACCAGTAATTGTAAATTGACAAAATATCTCAGTTGCATAAGAAAAAATTAAACGTTATAGCTGGAACAACGTAGTAAAACTAAAATGGTCTTAATAAACCCAGAAACATCGTAAAGATAATAGCATCTCTCCAACTTAAACTGTGCTCCTGTGACCTTACATATGGGAAATTCCACTTGCTCACAACACTTTTATGACAATAGTTATCAAATAAAGCTGAAGGAAATGTAAAAGTGATTCTTTAAACAGACTTCAGCTAAAACATTTGTACAATTCATATGGTGTGTTGAAAAAAATTATAAAGTCCATGTGCAAGATGCTGCTCTTTCGTATGGAATTATAACGACTAAAGATTTCTCAGTTGTTAGTACAAAGCAGCTGAAAGACGTATCGTCACCTTTTCCCAATTCCTCCGTCATTTTGTTAATAGTGAAACAAGCCTTCCAGGTGATATATTAATGAGACACAATGAAGAAAATGTAGAAACATTTTCTCCACACAAAACAAATCGACACATCCTCACTATTAGTGTTTCACAATTTTAATTTGTTCCATTTCCAGTCGACAAACGCTAGCTTTTTTCTTTCAGAAGCAGGCTCAAAAACCTGGA